GGTGTCCCATGGGGCACCACGAGACACCATAATATATTATTGAATCTCATGGGCGCCCATGAGATAACGGCATTTTGGCGATAATTTAATTTTTGTTATCTCACGAGACCCCATGGTGTCCCATGGGGCACCACGAGACACCACATTGATTCTCATGGGCGCCCATGAGATAACGGCATTTAGGCGATAATTTGTTTTTTGTTATCTCACGAGACCCCATGGTGTCCCATGGGGCACCACGACAGACCACATTGATTGATTGATTGATTCTCATGGGCGCCCATGAGATAACGGCATTTAGGCAATAGTTTATTTTTTGTTATCTCGTGGTGCCCCATGGGACACCATGGGGCACCACGAGAGACCACATTGATTCTCATGGGCGCCCATGAGATAACAGCATTTTGGCAATAATTTAATTTATTTTTGTTATTTCACGAGACCCCATGGTGTCCCATGGGGCACCACGAGAGACCACATTGAATCTCATGGGCGCCCACGAGATAACGGCATTTTGGCAATATGTTTTTTTTGTTATCTCACGAGACCCCATGGTGTCCCATGGGGCACCACGAGACACCATATTGATTCTCATGGGCGCCCATGAGATAGCGGCATGTTGGCGATAAGTTTTTGACGGCATCTCACGGGCCCCATGGGGCACCACGAGATACCATGGGCTGTTATGGGCCACGCCGTGACGCCCATGGTCCACCATGATCACAAAAGAATCGTCTTATTGGTGCACCATGGTTGTTAGGATATTGTAAGATAAGCGCCTGTGGACGGCGACGTCTTAAGACAAGTTTCAGAATAAAATACATGAGTACCTTGTAAATCTGTAAATGTGTCTATCGCACTTAATTTCCTCCGAGTCTAAGACCATTTCCTACACACACACCTGATTTCCCGGATCGCATTATTCCGGCTGGAAAAAAGTCCGGCCGTTCTTACCGTGACCCGAATTTCCTAGGCGGACTCTTGGGGGGTGTACAACAACACAACAACCTTGACCACCTTTTCATCGAGTGCGACCGGAGTTCTTGACGTGCCGCTCCCGTAAAGCGCTCCCATCAACCCTTCGCTGAAGGACTTTTTATTCTGCACGCTGGCTGTTGATGGTCGCTCGGCACGCGTCCCTAAAAAAGAACGTATCGCATGACACCAAGCATGGAGAGGCCGCAACAGGCCAAACCGCCACGTGACAGGAAAAAGAGCCGTTTTTTGTCAGAGAGGGGAGGACACCGCAACCGATTCCTCGCTCCCTAAGCCACCGATAAAAGCCAGACTGGTCCGGGCGTGCTCTCTGTTCCGTGGTCTCTCCCGGAGTAGATTGTATCGGTCGCTCATTAATCCAATCATTCGAAATCGTCGTCTGCGTGTGCACAAGCTGTCTGTAGAATTTTGTTTCCAGGCAGCAAGCAGTCTATTCTCAATTTTTCACAGTTCGGAAAAGCAACGGGCACCACGCGCATGCTTATCCCCGTTGATGGAGAGTATCTTGGTCCCCACAAAATATACTCCGGGAGAGACCACGGAACAGAGAGCACGCCCGGACCGGCCCGGTTTCGATCGGTGGCCTAGGGAG